CGTGAGCCGCCCACGCCGGCGCCGTAGCCCTGCTCCGAGCGATCCCGGTGCGGAGACGTGTGGGGACGCCGCGGTTTGCCGGGGCCGGTCCGGGCAGCGGGCGCGATGCCTCGGGCGATGCCGCCGCTCCGCGCTCTTCATGCGGTGTGAGGGGAAGAGCGAAGGAGAAGCAGCCCCTGCCCCTCGGGCGCTGCTGCTTGGGGACGAGCGCTCAGGAACTGCGAAGCCGCCGGGGCCACGGGCGAAGCCGCTTCCCACCGCGGTTTCTCCACGTTGGAACCAGCTTTGGGGCTGAGGCGCTCTTATTTTTAGCCCCGCAACTTAGGGAAGTGGAAGAGCACCCAGGGAGGAGGAGGAGGAGGTGCATCCTCCCGTGCCTTGCAAAGAGGCCAGGGCCGGCTGCTCCCTGCACCTTCCCCTTCGCTCCTTCCCTGGCTGCATTTTGGGAAGCACCAAGACGCGGCGGCCGCCCGCCCCCCCAGGCTATGCATTGACCAGTTTGCCACCGTATGCATTTTTATCAGAAGAGAAGGTATTTTTATATTTTGGTGGTAGCTAACGAGCAGCTCCAATTGCGAAACCCGGGCACGGACCCGCGCGCCGGCACCGCCGGCCGCCCCGTCCCGCCGGGCGCTACCCGCAGCGTTAGCGGACGGGGATCCGTCCAGCACTTAGGCCAGTCTCTGGAGCACGGAAACCCCGTCGTGCCGAACGGAGCGGGATGTGCCGGGCACTTCTGGGGAGGCTCCCTACTGTACTTAAAAAGTTTCTATGCGATCGATGAACTTTGTTAACCAATTTTGGAAGGAACGAGTTCTGTAAAGAGCCACAAAATACAGATGTTGGGTAACGGCGCCTCTCGGGCTCTGTTTTGTCCGTGGATGCTCTGTGCTTGCCCTGTGCCATCCCAGCCACATCCCTGATGCAAATCCCACAGGAAAACCTGCTTGGCATTGCCCGGAATATGCCAGCCCTGGGGCTTGGCTTGTCCTTGACCCCAGAGCATGGGAGCAGGGACTCACCCAGCAGCTCCATCACTAATTCCAGGTGGGAATTAGTGATCCCATGTGCTGCACAGCAGTTTATACCCAATTGTCAGCGAACCTGCTGGGTAGGATTTATTTTCCATGGCTGTGGCAATGCCTGGAGCCTCCCACCCGGTAGCAGCAGCCCTTGCACAACCCCATGTGCAGCCAGCAGCGAAGAAAAATACCTGACTGCAAGGGCTGGGGTTACTGGGGAGAAAAACAAAACAAAAGGCCTGGCCAATAAAATAATATACATATAGAGACAGATAGACAGATAGACAGATAGACAGACAGATAGATAGATAGATAGATAGATAACTTAAAAACTGCAATTTCCAGTTTGATCCAAGGGCATGGAAGGGTTAACCCATATCTGCCTTTTTTTTTTTTAATCAGTGAGTGATTTTAACACCGATAAAAACGGTTGGGGAAGTAAAAGAGAAGCGGCCGCGCAAGCCCCCCCGCAGCGCAAACGTGACGCTTGGTGCCACGGTAATCATCCATCACCCGGCGTGACGCACAGGTTCCTGCGGCCGGCCGCGCTTCCCCGAGGGAGCGGCGCCGGAGCCGGCCTCGTCGGGAATGTGCGGCCTCGTCGGGAATGTGCGGCCTCGTCGGGAATGTGCGGCCTCGTTGGGAACACGCGGCCTCGCTGGGAGCACCGGCTGCTGTGCCGGCGCTCAGGAAGGGCTGCGCTCACAGATACTCTCATCTTTCAAACCACATCCTGCTGGAGCGGCGCGATCCCAGCCGGAGCGGCACGCTCGGCGCTCGCCTCTGCCCCAGGCTCTGTCCCCCGTGGGGGATGTGTCAGCCCCTGTCCTCAAACGTTGTATCCTGGGGCTGGTCCCCACACTGTGACCAGCGGGTGTACCCAGGGAGGCCAAGCCGCAGAGCCAGGGTGAGGAAGATGAGGAGGCCGGAGGTGGCACCGCGGA